GGCCTCTCTCATCTTTTTAAGTGGGAGAACTTGCACAATTGGTGACTGACTAAATACTTATTTTCCCCACTGTAAGTATCCTTTGCTCTAATTCCATTTCTGGGTTGGAAGAACAGGAATCTAAAAAGTAGCCTAATAATGTTGATCCTGAGTATATAAACTAGACAAACTAGAACAAAACAGAGCAAAAGTCAAAACCTAAATATAGAAACACATTTTTTTTTTAATGCCCTCATTTCTTTTCGGAATAGCCCCAGTCCTGTCAGACTGGAGATGGAGGGCATGTAGACATTAGTTCTCAATTCTCAGTTAGATTTAGGTCTAGGAATGGACTTTAACTAGGCCATTCTACCACATGATTATCTGCTCTTAAATAAATAAACAGTGTGCTGTTGTTGTTCTTCTGGAAGGTTAACCTTATGATCTCAAGTACTTTGCAGCTTCTTACAGACTTTCTTTCATCACTGGCTTAGCTCCGCCCATCTTCCCATAAACTCTGACCCTCTTCAGTGGCTCTCATAAAGAGCAGCATTGCCACAGCATGATGCTGCCACCGTCATGCAGTGACATCATTGGGTGATTTACAGCGCAAGTTTTACGCCACATCTAACGTTTTGCCAACAGGGCAACAAGTTTGATCTTAATCTCATTTCACTTCCACTCATTTAGTGAATCCCCTTCATGGCTTTAGCCAAACTATAAATTTGATCTTTAAAGTTTTTGTTTGACTACAAGAAAGTGTAGCACATTGACAGTAAAGTTTAGAAAAATCAGAGCTGGTTTGCTTTAATTGTACTTTTTTTCTTTCCCCATTTCTTTTTTCTTTTTTTGTTTCGTATTTATCTGACAAATTGTTAGATTTGTTTAAATTGAGCATCTTACACAAAACTGTCTTTACAAAAATACAACTAGTTAGTAACCGCATTGTGTAAAAATCCCTTGCAGTCTGATTTAGCAAATTTATGGTGTTCAAAGAAATGTCAATTCACTTTGACTCAAGCGCCACTGTTGCTGCATAACTGAATTGACAAACTGTTAATAATTACAATCCTGGTTCTTGGCAATGCTTCAGTTACTTCAAGTATTGCACAGTGGACAATCCTTTAAAGACATGCTGGTAAATCATGTGTGTTCATGCGATAAAACACATAATTCATTTTTTAATCACCTCCAAGTCAACGACCAATTCACCAAATCTAAATTAGCTGCACCACTACCTGTTCTAGAGGAAGTCTCCATTAAGCCTTCTTTGTAATTATGCAGAAGTCCTTTAATTCAAGCAGCTCACAATCTAGTGTGCCAGCAAATACCTTAAAAAAAATAAAATAAAAAAAAATAAAATCACCTTCCTACTCAGACTTAACTGTTAACTTTCTCTCCAAAGCTTGAAGCTTGGTTATTTACTCATTATTTACTTAATGGTTTGACGGTGGCAAAGGAGCTCGTCATTAGCTGTGTCTCCATTATTAACCATAAAATTGAAATTTTGAAGATAAATTCTCTTAAATTGGCTCAATAGAAATGTTTCTTTTTCAAGTTACACTACAATGGGGTGGGTTGGTGACCGCATCCAAATAAATGTATTTCGCAAAACTGCTATGAAAACGCTTTTCCCCTCGTCGCACCAGTCGCGTGATCAATAGTCGGACGTTACTACTGGCGTGGATGAAGACGTTGTACCACGCCGTATGTTGATCAAAGATGGGGGGCTACGGAGTGAAAAAAAGGAAGGTGCCAATTGTAGATTAAGTAGCACAGCATCTTTTCACAGAAATCTTTTCCTAATTTTTGTCTGTTGTATTTTGTGATGCAGGACAGTGTTTTTAAGTTCCAAAAACTGTGAATCACTGAGATCAGTTCTTATGCATAATGCACTTAAATAAATGCTTAACTAAGTAAATGTATTGTTGAAATTGCAGATACCTTTCTTAAAAACTGAGATTATTCATAATATATTTTGGAAAAGTAAAATTCGTTTAATATAAAAATCAACAACAAGTCCACTTTTATTGGTTCTATTTAATCTTGCAATGAGTTTACTTGTGTGGCCCCCTGCAGATCAGATTAAGCTGTATGCGGCCCCTAAACCAAAATGAGTTTGACACCCCTATATGGTATGACGTCCACCTGCAGGGGGTTCCGCTCAGAGCACACAAACCTGACGGAGACAGTCCAATTAGTTCATGTTGATTGCAATTATCAGTTTTAGCACCAACTATAAGTCAGTATGAACAGCTGTGCGATTTAGCAGGAGTTACTTCTGGTTCATTGTTTCCGTTTCAATTTCCTTCACCATGACGTCCTCTGCTGGGAGGGATATTAAACCTGCAGGCAAAACATAGAAAGAAAGTGAAAAAAAAAAAAAACACACACACAAAAAAAAAAAAACTTTCCAGGTGTGCAACATTTACGTTCCAGAGAAACCTATAACTTTTTCTTAAACATAGTGGTTACAAAACTTGCAGGAAATTCAAATCATGTGTCTACCTTTAAACACTCTTGTCGCCCACCGGGCCTGCATCTCCGCCATGCTGTTG